AGGGGATGGGATCATCTTTTCTCGTCCTTTGGGTAGTAGATTGTGGGTCAAGGTGACAGCGCTTCGAGGGTGATGTCGGTGTCATATCAAATAAAAAGTCCTCCGGCTTTAATCTTGCCTCGGTGATGCTTCATTAGGCGTTGTTGAGGAACTCTGGAGTTTTTGTACATTGTTTCATCAAGGATAACAGGTTTGTTATTTGTGTCATCTATCGACGTGGTTCCATGTGCATCCGCGGCGACAACTTCGTCTTCTTCAACAACCTCTCCCCTCGAGCCTTCGGGAATAAAGTCATCGGTTTGGCATGGCGATACTAGCACGAATGCCTATCTAGATATGCTTGGTTGATTCTCAATCTCTATCATATGCAATGGTCTACTAATATGGTGATTCAACGAGATTTGTTTCTCTATTCGTCTTTTTCTCTTCTCTACGGGTGTTTGGTAGGGTGCATGAGGGTAAGAGTTCCCAATCCAACTCACTTTTGCTTGTTTGATAGGGTGCATGGGCTCACATTTGTAAAAAAAACTGTTCATAATTTCAAATATTGTTTAAATTTTCAAAAAATATTCTGCATTTCAAATTTTATAGAATTTCAAATTTTGTTTAAATTTTCGAAAATGTTCAGAATTTAAAATTTGTTTAAATTTTCAGAAAATGTTCGGAATTTCAATTTTTTAATTTTCAAAAAATGTTTTGAATTTAAAATTTCGTTTAAATTTCAAAATTAGTTTAATTAAAAAAACAAAATTCAATATTTTATAAAATTCAAAAAAGTCCAGTCTTTCAAAATATGTTTAAATTTTCAAAAAATGTTCTGAATTTTAGTTTTTATTTAATTTTTCAAAAAATGTTTGGAATTTCAAATTTTGTTTATATTCTCAATAGAAGTTTAGAATTTCAAAATATTTTAATTTTTTCATGTTTTTTAATTTTGTTCACCATTTAAAATAATTATTCAGAATTTAAAATTGTTTGGCATGTCTAAACATATGCAGGCTGTCAAACAAAGTCTCAGCTCAGCATGTCTCAGTGCATACACCGCTGTCAAACAACATCAAATGCATGGACTCAACATGTCTACACTCAGCATGTATGAGAGGAGAACAACTAGGCTAGGTCCATACATGCTACCAAACACACCCTGTTCCTTGCAAGTACCTCCGTGGGTGGGTTTCTAGATGTTGCCTATTATTGACGTAGGCCATAGTGGTGCAACGATGAAAAATTAGTCTTGGCTTTGACAATAACTTAGCCCCCCTGTTTTTACCTTAGTTTTTGTGCATGTGGGTTCAGTTACTCTATCTAACTAGAGAATACCCAGCGCGTTGCTGCGGGATTTGGTTGTATGAAACATGCATAAGTGAATTGATAATTTATGAAGTAAAACTAAATATTATATATTTTATTTGATCATTGTGTACTCCAAACATATTTTGAATATAAGTGGCATAATATAATGGGAAAAAAATCATGCATGTTTAGTGGACCTTTCATGTGGTGGCATGCGTGGTGAAATAAGATGTGTGCGTGGGTCAACTAATAATGATTTTTTCCCTCATGCATGTCATGGTGGGCCTTTGATAGAGTGGTATGTGTGCATGTTAAGATAATAGAGGTAGTGTGGATGGAAAACACGAAGGAGAACCTGGGTACCAGCACACCCTATATGCAAAAAATAAATAAATTAGTGATTCAAAAAATTCCAAATCTTTTTTGTATCAAACATGATCAATTATTGTAGTTGTATAAAAAGATTCGTCAAAGAATGACTTCCATTGCATCTTGGGTCGAAGATTTGGCAAAAAAACGCTATATACAAGTACTATACACGCTATATTGTCGTCATAAACTTGTCTTTTTGCCCTGAAGTCAATAGGAATCATTTCTTGTCCAAACTTTTTATACTAGTACAATACCTCATCCTGTTTGATTCCAAAAATCATTTGGAATTTTTGAACTTTTTTGAATTACTATTTTTTTCACATATAGGGTGAGCGGGTACCCGAGAGCACCAAGTTCCCGTCCTAGTGTGGATGAACTATTTAAGTATACATAATATCAATTATCTCTCACAAAAAAATAAGTTCACATTTATTTATTTAGAGACATTAAAGCTGCACAACTTTGCAACCTTCTCAGGCCATTAGTGTTTTCATCAGTCGGATCATCAGTTTGTGGCGTTTTCGGCCAAAATCTATTTTGGTGTTAATCCCGCTTTAGTTCACTGTGTTTGCTGCAATCAAATAGTTTTATTGCCGGGCCGCTGCTCCGGGGGCAATTTCGAGCGTCTGATGTGAAATTGGGCCTAATGGGCTTCTAGGAGTGTTCGCCCCTTCAACCAAAAAAAATACACCCCTCCTCACAGGGGCACGACTATGTCTCGCTCCAAGCGAGAAGAGTCAGCTCACGCTATACGCGCCCGCCCAGCTTGCGCGAGGCCACTGTGTTTTTTTTCATTGACCTTTTATTTTCTTTTTATAGGTTTGTTTACACTTCCAAAAATTCTAAACATATATATTACAAAATATAATTTTCGTAATATTCTGAATTTTTTTATCATGCATTCAAAAAATGTTAAATATGTATAGAAAAAATGTTGAGCATATATATGAAAAATGTATACAAAAAATATACAATATGTGTAAAAAAGTTGATCATGTATTTGCAATATGTAAATCAAGCATTTGAAAAAGTTAAACAAATATTTAAAAAATGTTAATTAACCGTTCAAACAAAGTTGAATGTGTATAGAAAGAATGTTGAACATGTATTTAAAAATTATGAAATATTTTGATCATTTATTTAAAAATATTACAAGCATATAAAAAATTCTAACAAATTATTTCAAAAATGTTAATCGAGCATTTGAAAATGTTAAATGTGTATAGAAAAAATGTTGATCATGCATTCAAAAAAATGTTAATCTTGCATTTGAGAAATGTTGATAAAGCATTTGAAAAATGTTAAATATTCTTGGAAAAAATGGTGACCATGTATTAGAAAAATATTGATTTTGTATTTGAGAAATGTTAATCATGCATTTGAAAAAAGTGTATGGTGTGTATAGGAAAAATGTTGACCATGTATTCAAAACATGTTAATCAAGCATTTTAAAAATCTAAAAAACATGTATAGAAGAAATGTTAACTATGTATTAGAAGAATGCTAATTTTGTATTGGAAAAATGTTAAATGTGTATTAGGAAAAAATGTTGTTGGTATATACATAAAAAAAACTAGAATGAAAACCAAAAGAAAGGTGACAAACTAAAAAATGAAACCCAAAAAAGAAAAAAGAATAACCAAGAGAAAAAGAAAATGAAAAATAAAATTGAAGAAACAAATAAAAAAGAATGAAAAGCAAAAAAAACATAGAAGAAAAACGAAAAGAAACATGCCGGAAGGAAAACAAGTGGAACCCAGGGTCATTTCGCCTCAACTACATCCTGCCCTATTAATTGATCAGAATCCCGTTGCAATCTATCTAGGAGATCACGGTTCGAAACCCCCCGCAGCGCACCTGCTTAAATGCGAGAAATAGTCTCTGCGCCACATAGAATTGTCCTTTCGTATCTTGCGTGCAGGCGGACAGAAGATGGCTTCTTCCCTGTTGCAGTGGCGCTCGTCATTGTTGCAGAGTTCCTAGGGGTGTTGTGCATGTGGTGGTGTAGTGTTGTATCGGGCGTTGCATCGGCTATGAGAACTGTTTTTTGTCGGGTGGCAACGACTTCACTTCAAGGGCCTTGGTCCTCCAGGGCTTAGGTACGATGACTTCCCGGCTGGCACATCATACAAGGAGTGGCCGACTCAGACAGTGATGTACGTCTACGGAGTGGCGGTAGCATCGCCCCATTGTCCCGCTTGTGAGGCTAGAGTTAGTCAGGCTAAGAAGGTAACCGATGTTGATCGTTGTTTCGGCGATGGATTAATTGGTAACTGCATTTGGTGGTCTGGGAAAATATCCAACGCTCTCTACATTTAGGTGCTCCCATGCTTTATTGTCTCAAAATTTAATTTTAAACATTTCAAAAATTTGGAAGAAAACAATTGATGTTCACAGGACATGTATCTACAACCCCTAAAAATGTCAGATCCAAAATTGAAACATAAATTGAGAAACAAACAAAAAAGAGAAATCTTGATGTGAATAGTATTGTTTTAGTTTTTGTCTTTCTGTGACACTATTCATGCTGGATTTTGTCTTTTTTGTTTCTCAATGTGTTTTTCGAGCCTGGATCTGAATTATTTAGAGGTTATTATGGACACATGTCTTGTGGATAAAACATAAATTACATTTTTTTTGAAACGTACAAAATCAACTTTTAGAAACATTGGAGTATGGGAGCATCGAAGTGTTGGGAGCACTGAATACTTAGTGGTCTGTTTTTTCTTTGCGGGGGGGAATACTTAGTGGTCCTTGCGTAGCATGTTGTTTCTTCTTGTATTCGATCATGTCTCGAGTCATACTTGCATAGATGTTAAGCTAGGCGTCACTTGCCACCTGGTCGATTGTGCCATGGTCGTCCACATTGGCCATGTAAAACAAGTAGCTTAATAATGGCATGATGATCCAAAAATTGGGCTAAGGCGCATGGCGGATGCAAAGCCACACATCACAAAGCTCGTGAATTCTGTTTCGATAAATGATTTTAGGGAGAAAAAGGTCAAATAAATATAGGGTAGCATCACAACTTCGGTTCAGATAAGCAGCCCACAAACTTAACACACAAATTCGAGCATCACACAAGAGACGCTTAATAGTAACTTATAACTATGATTCTTCTTGCTAATAATGACAGTACTAAATAGGATAATCTTCTGATGGAGATCAGAATTCCTCCCAATCACGCTGAGAGGACTTCACTTATGCAGCAGCAACATGCTTCATATCACCGTTTCTTTAGTCTTCCCGTCTTGCTACAGTAAGAAAATTGAATCGAACATTACAACATGATCATTTGTTTATAAGAAAGGAACTGCTAGAATTTAGTACAGACCTTAATTTTTCCTGGATGAGCTTGTAGATGCCTCGGCCTCCTGTCGCGGAGCGTTCTGGTTCCAGGCTACGGCAGGCTCCTCCCGGACTGAATTCACTGGAGTTTCAGTAGATTGCTCCTCAAAGCCTTCATCATACTCCTCATCAGATGGGTCTTCGTAAGCGTTCAAGTCAACCCGGTAGCGGAGGATCCCTCCTATCCCACCATAGCCCGAACAGAACTGAGATCCTTGCTCCGTATTGTTCGTGATGAGCTCCAGCGCACAACCAAACTGCCAATAGTTTTCGGCAAACCACTCCAGCAGCACGGTCCTCTCAACCACCTCCAACACTGCCGATGTCGCCTTATCTTTGAAGTTGCTCTGATCTGCCTCCTGTGCCTCGTCGAAGTGCTTTACCACAGTTTCTTCGGTAGCAGAATTCTTCAAGATGTATCTATTGATATCAAGATTTCCCCACACAATCAGTGTTTCAACTGCACCCATTTCAAGGGCAGACATGGTGTCATCCACACCAGAAACATACTTCCCAGTGTCTTGGCTTATCTCCTCAAAGTACTTTCCCATCAACCTTTTTTCTTGGATGAACTTGACATTGGAAAGGACTTCAGCAGATATCTCAATGGCCTGGTTGAAGCCATCCTCTCCACCATGAGAGACAGTGACAACCTTCAGTATCTTGGCTGCCAAGCGCTGATCAAACAGGTCAGATTGACTCAATTCAGTCTTGAGGTCAGCGCAACCAGCTAGAATGAGACCAGAAACATTTGGCTGGCTAGTGGCAGGGTCAATGAAGAATCTAGTAGCAAGCTCAGCCGTCCTGCGCACATAGTTGTGCCGGGTCTCCACGCGCAGGCGGGAAAAGCGAAGTGTTGACTGCCCTCCTCGGCCATGCTTCTTTGGGAGATCAACAGAGAACTTGTGTAGAACCTCCCTAGTGTTGCCACTCAGGGTTCCAAACAGCGTTCCATTACCGTCCATGACAATGAAGCCAAACTTATCATCGGACTCGAGCATCTCATGCAGTGCCTCGGTGTGGAACTTGTTGTCACAGAGATACATGAAAGCATTAACTGGCCTGAATGGCTCAAAATCAATGCTGACCTTCTTTTCTTTCCCCTCATCGGTGAGGATGGTTCCGGTGTAAAGCACCAATCCATTGGTGGGAACTCGATTGTACAGCTTCAACTTTTGCTGGGAAGAGGTAATAGCTGCCAAGACAGACTGCCTGTTGACTCTCCTCTTGATGTTTGAGGCGGTCCCATGTTCATCACCCAACAGCTTGGTGACTCGACATACCTGATCACGGGGTGGCACGATCAGCGATATCATGCTTGTCCCGTTTCCATGGGCAGCATCTAGTCATTTGATCAGCTTCTTGAATTTCCACATCTCGATGTTCTTGTCGTTATCCATATTGGTTGTGTTGTTACCTCTGCCTTCACCTATAAAATAGAACATCCAGTATATGTATAATGCTAGTATGATCACGTCTAGAAGGCTGTGTAAACATGTTATTCCAGGAGCAGAAGTGGCAATAAATAATCAAAGCGTCATATAAATTTCATTGTTACAAAGAATAAGGTATATGAACATTCAGTCATGATAGACAAAGAAAAAAAAAGTGCTGCTGACATATAATTGCAGGTAGGAATTGCTACATAATCAAAGAAAAACGTTGAAAAAATGATAAAGATTCAGAAACTTCAGGCCAAAGACAAGAGTCAGAGAGGCACTGAACATGATATCTTTTTCAGACAGAGCACAGATACTGTCTATATAAGACCACTAACTTATGATAATTCATACCATACAAGATCAGGGACCAATAACAGAGTTGATGATTACAGGAGTACTAGTAGTAACCCCTAAATTCACATGTTCAGAGGGGTGTGGTACTAGACTACTAGTACTACCAGCTGCATAATGAATGCTCCCAAAATTCAGACACGACTAGCTGAGGTGAGAACATCCGGCAAAGAATTGCACGCCAAATCCATCATCTTCCTATGTGATATCCCATCGAAAATCACAGCAGACAAAGTAAAATAAGGGGCGTACGTACCCCTGGGCCCTGGTTCGCCGGACGGGTGCCCGCGACCCCCTCCACCGTCGGCGGATCCACCCAGATCCCACCGCTACCTTCTCCCCGAAAACCCGATCGGATCAAACACGCCTCAAACCCACCAGCGACACGGACATAATCGAGTTTAACTATAGATCGGAAGAGGAAACTAGCAATTCACGAACATAATGAAACTAGCTAGAAGGGAAGAGGAGAGGGCGACCGATGTTGTTACCATGGCGAGAGCACTCGCCGCCGTGCGGAAGGAGGGAGCTAGGCTGCTTCGGCTTCATGGCGAGAAAAAGCTCGGGAGTCTGCTCGAATCCGGCGGGAGAAACAAAGGAGGGCGAAAAAGCTCGGACGGTAGTTCGATTACAGCAGGTGAAAAGTCGGGAAGCTTTTATATATACGGTACGGGACACTTCTTTCTATTTTCTACTGGAAACGGGAGGAACTATTCCTTTGGTACCGTGCTTGCCAAGTTGCGTGATACTTTGAATTATTTGCGAAAGTAAAGCAAACTCCAGCATCGCAAAGCACACCAAAGAAAACAAGAAATTGCATCCAGGTCCTTGACCGGGGGTGGGTTGCGATCGTTGTGTCCCTAGAAAGTGTCGATCCTCCGCACCTACAAAGAGCTGATGGCGCGCTGCCAGCCTGCCACCGCCGCCAATCCACTACCGAAGCCGGCCCCACTTTGTTGCTTGCGACCGGGAAATCATCAAGGCTATGATTCGGTGGGACCAACGCCCATGGAGGAGAAGTCGATGCTAGAGTGTTAAGGATCCGGCCGCCAACCACCTACCGATGGCTCGTCATATTCCCTGTTCATCCTCTCTACCGCTCGACGATGTTATCAGAGTAGTCGCCGTTGAAGCAGTGCTCGATCAGGAGAACAAGACGCCTAGGAGATTCATACGTGTATGTGTGTGCTACCTTTATAGAGGAAAAGCCCCATTGAAATACTAGCAACAATATAAGATGGGTAAACATAGATACTCATATTTTATAGACACTCCTCATATATAGAGGAGTCAGTTTGGGATTAGGGCCAACCGCTTTAGTGAC